TCCAGCTTCGGAGGAGCTTTGGCTCTGACTTCCCTGTTTTGCGTCTGCACTCGGACAGAGGCGGAGAGTTCTCCTCTGGCCTCCTGAGTGCCTACTGTCGTGCACGAGGCATCCGTCAGACCTTCACGCTTCCGGACTCACCACAGCAGAATGGGATTGCTGAGCGCCGCATTGGCATGGTCATGGACGTCGCTCGTACGTCCATGATGCATGCGGCTGCTCCCCATTTTCTGTGGCCGTTTGCGGTCAGGTACGCTGCGCACCAGATCAACCTCCACCCCAGGGTCTCTCGACCGGAGACCTCCCCAGCCCTGCTGTGGACGGGGAAGGTTGGCGATGCGTCGGCGTTCCGGGTCTGGGGATCTCGGGCGTTTGTTCGCGACCTGTCTGCGGACAAGCTGTCCCCTCGTGCTTCTCCCTGCGTCTTCCTGGGGTTCCCCCCCGACGCCCCTGGGTGGCAGTTTTACCACCCCACCTCTCGACGTGTTCTGTCCTCCCAGGACGTCACGTTCGACGAGTCGGTACCCTACTACCGCCTCTTCCCCTACCGCACTCCGTCCCTCCCCCCACCCCCGCTCTTCCTGGTACCAGGTCCCCCCCCGGTAGTCCCCCTCCCCCCTCAGGGTCCTGCCCCTTCAGGTGTGTCCCAGGTAGACGCGGTCGAGCCTTTCGAGGTCACTGGTGACTCTGGTGCTGCTGCGGGAGCTGAGCCTGGGGGTGCGGAGTCTGGGGGTGCTGAGCCTGGGGGTGCTGAGCCTGGGGGTGCTGAGCCTGGGGGTGCTGAGCCTGGGGGTGCTGAGCCTGGGGGTGCTGAGCCTGGGGGTGCTGAGCCTGGGGGTGCTGAGCCTTGGGGTGCTGTGCCTAGGGGTGCTGAGCCTGGGGGTGCTGCGTCTGGGGGTGCTGAGCCTGGAGGTGCCGAGCCTGGGGGTGCTGTGCCTGGGGGTGCTGAGCCTGGGGGTGCTGTGCCTGGGGGTGCTTCGTCTCGCCGGGAGCCACTCTCCCCGCAGGAGCTGCGTGAGTGGTTTGCCAGGCGCTGGAGGTGTGCTGCTGGTGCTGGTGGTTCTTCGGCTGCAGAGGGTACTGCTGCCTCGCGTCCCGCCGGTGCTCGTACTGTGGGTGCTGGAGCTGCTGGGTCTGAGAGTTCTCCTGGAGCTGGTGCTACTGAGGGTGTTGGCGCTGAGCCTGCCGTTGGCGGTCCGACTGACAGTGCTCCTGGTGCTGCTGCTGGAGGTTCTGGAGCTTCTGGTGGTGCTGCTGGAGGTGCTGCTGGAGTGGGTACTCCTGCCGGGGCTGCTGGTACTGTTCCTGCTGTTTCTGGTGTCGCCGCGCGGCCCCGACCTTACTTCGTTCCGCTCCTGCAGCAGGTTCTTGGTCTTCCGCCTCCTCCTCCTCCTCCCTTAGAGGGTCCGCAGCCTGTCCGGTCACAGCCACAGCTACAGCCTGCCTCCCCTTTGCCTGCTCCGTCTCCCTACACTGGTCCGACTGGAGGTCTTACTGAGCGTCGTGAGCCTGCGTCTCGTCCTGTGTCGCCTGTTCGTACTGAGCGCGCTAGTGGTCGCGGGTCGCGTCAGCGTCCTCCTCCTGTTCCTGGCACGCACCGGATGTCACTGCGTCCGTCCACTGCTCCTCTGCGTGCCCCTTTGCCTTCTCCTCCTGCTTCCTCTCTTCCTGCTCTTGCCGACCCGGAGTCGGACTCTCTTCGTGCTGCCAGTCCTACTGTCACGCGTCTCCTTGCTACAGCTGTCACTGACCCTTCCTTCGAGTCGTCTGCTGCGTCTGCCCTTGTCACTGAGCTTGTCGACTTTGCTGCGCGCTGTCGTCTAGACTACGCTGCCCGTCTTGTCACTGAGTCTGAGTCCGCCTGTCCTCCGTCCGTCGGGGGTGAGTGTGCCCTTGGCACGGACGTCCTTGAGGACAGGCAGGAGGAGTTCCAGTGTCTAGCCGCCGCTTCACCTCGTCTCGCGTCTGTACTGCTAGCCCCTGAGGGAGACCCGGATGCACCAGACATCCCGACTCCGCGCTCTTACGCGGAGGCGATAGAGGGTCCCTACTCCTCTCAGTGGCAGGCAGCTATGGATGCAGAGATGGCTTCCTGGAAGTCCACAGGCACCTACGTTGACGCTGTTCCCCCCCCTGGGGCGAACATCGTCAGTGGCATGTGGATTTTCAGGGTGAAGCGGCCGCCGGGTTCTCCGCCTGTCTTCAAGGCGCGTTACGTGGCTCGTGGCTTCAGTCAGCGGCAGGGGGTTGACTACTTTCAGACCTTCTCCCCCACCCCGAAGATGACCACTCTTCGGGTCCTGCTGCACGTTGCTGCTCACCGTGACTACGAGCTGCACTCTCTCGACTTCAGCACAGCTTTCTTGCAGGGCAGCCTGCACGAGGAGATCTGGCTGCGTCGCCCACCTGGCTTCACTGGGTCTTTCCCTCCTGGTACCCAGTGGAGTCTCCGGCGTCCAGTCTACGGTCTCCGCCAGGCGCCACGTGAGTGGCACGACACACTGAGGACTACGCTCGCGGCACTTGGGTTTGCTCCTTCTACTGCCGACCCGTCGCTGTTTCTGCGCACCGACACCTCTCTGCCGCCGTTCTACATCCTCGTGTACGTCGACGACTTGGTCTTTGCCACAGCTGACACTGCTGGACTCGCCTACGTGAAGTCCGAGCTGCAGAAGAGACACACGTGCACTGACCTGGGTGAACTGCGCAGCTATCTTGGCTTGCAGATCACCCGGGACAGAGCACGCCGCACCATTACCCTGACTCAGTCACACATGGTGCAGCAGGTCCTTCAGCGCTTCGGCTTCACGTACTCCTCGCCTCAGGCCACTCCTCTGCCTACTCGCCACTCGCTCTCAGCTCTGCCTTCGGATGAGTCCGTAGAGTCGAGTGGCCCATATGCAGAGCTTGTTGGCTGCCTCATGTACCTGATGACCTGCACACGACCTGACCTTGCATACCCTCTTAGCATTCTCGCACGCTATGTTGCTCCTGGGAGACACCGACCAGAGCACATGGCTGCAGCGAAGAGGGTGTTGCGCTACTTGTGCAGTACGTCGGGCATGGGGCTAGTGCTTGGAGGGCGCAGTCCAGTGGTCCTCACTGGGCACGCGGACGCTTCTTGGGCTGACGACCAGGCTACGCAGCGGTCGTCACAGGGTTACACCTTCAGCCTTGGTTCCGGCTCTGTTTCGTGGCGGGCTACCCGCTCGTCTTCTGTTCTCGGCTCCAGTTGTGAGGCTGAGATCTACGCCGGGGCTATGGCTGCACAGGAGTTACGCTGGCTCACCTACCTGTTGACCGACCTTGGAGAGCAGCCTCGTTCTCCTCCAGTCCTGTACGTAGACAACAAGGCCATGCTGGCCTTGTGTCGAGAGCAGAGACTGGAGCACAGAACGAAGCACATTGCTCTCCGCTACTTTCTTGCTCGTGAGCTACAGCAGCGTGGACAGTTGCGACTTGCGTACGTGGCCTCTGAGGCCAACACTGCTGATGTCTTCACCAAGGCACTTGCGCCTTGTGATCATCAGCGTTGTTGCACGCAGTTGGGTCTTGTGCCTGTCTTGCCTCACTTGCTCTCCTCTTGACCTTGCTTGTACCTTCGCCTATATATACTCTTGCTCTTGCTTACTTGACTCTTGTATATCTCTATATATGATCTTGCATGTGAACTGGCCATGTGGCCTTGAACTTGTGCTCGGAATGTGTGGTGACTTTGTGATCCACCCTGAGCTTTGCTTTGCTTTGCTTGACTGGTCTTGTGACCCCTTGTTCTCCCCCACTTTGCCTATGGGGGTGTGTCAGAACTATATAGCTTATACTATTGTGTAGGCTATAGTGGGGTATCCCATAGGGGGTACAACCCAATTAGGGTTTCCTATTTGTACTCACTTCTTTCATAGTCATTCCATTCTCGTTCTCTTTTTCACACATATATGTGTCCACACTCGTTGTTTAGGGTTCAGCTCCCCTGCAAACTGGTCCAAATCCACCGCGATTCCATCGGCAACTGAATGACAAAGCTGAAAGAAAGCTTGCTTACTTTGCTTTTTAAACGCCGCTATTTTCTCCTTGGTGTCCGTCGTGGAAGGCGCAACTCCCTCCATCGTCTCCTCGTCGGGACGGCAGTACGGCAAGAGGTCCACCTCCTCTGCCCTTCGAATGAACTTCTTTCGCCACGCGTTGTAGTTGCTTCCATTGAAGCGCTGTGCTTCACTGAGCCCGATCGTCGGTTTCGCCACCAATCGGCCACTCGCAAGGGCCTCGAGAAGAGCCTTCAACTGCGGGTCTCCAAGACTCACACTGGAACCCGAACTCGCCTTGTCTCCCATAGCGTAGGCGTGAACGACTCCTCTTCTCCACTAATTTCACTTAGCGCACCAAGTGAATTCGCGACGATCAACGCGCCTGTTCGCCAAGCTCTGATACCAGTTCTTAGGATCGTAAGCACCTTAGTCGGCAATAGTCTACTTGCTATCGCCTATCGTGTTCTCCACGATCTCCCGAATCCAATGTTATGCGTAGCTCTGCTTGAAGTTGTCAATACACACTTCAACAATTTTCAAAATCTGATTGGTATGATTTCCAGAATGAGTACAAGCAGTTTTCTAGTCAGGCAAGACACAAAATGCGATTCGTAACTTCACTTGTTTCCCAAGTAACCGCGTGCGCCTCGTTTCACCCCGAGTCGCACACGCAACCGAACCGAATTCAGTGAATACTCCGCAAGTCCGAAACCCGAACTTTCTCGAACGCGCCTTGGTCTCGAAGCACATTTTTCCCCTCGTCAATCTCATTCTCGATGCTTCTCCTTCTCTCTCCCTCCTTCTAGCACATTTCTTCTCGATTTCTCTCCCGCTTCTCACGCCGTAGCCTCTATTCCCCACCGTAGGCCGATTTCCACCGTTTCACAGACGCGCTTCCATTTCGCCGTCATTCCGCCGTCGTAGATGCTTTCGCCTTAGGTTCCGTGGTTGGGCGAACCAACCCTAACAGGCAGGATGGTTGAAATTGAGGAAATTGAGGATACACGGGTCGAGAATAGTTACCTTCAAAGTACAGCCGCTCAGAATACAACGTCGGCGGCCAGGATCGCAACTGGGGATGCGGGAACCGTTGGGTCAAGATCAGGAAGTGGATCTGACGGAGCCAAGGTTGCCGGAGAACCGTCGGATTTAGGAGGCGATGGACGGCTATCCTCGGCTGCGGGTTTCGAGGCGAGTCAAAACGGCGCTGCTGGGAGTGGGTCGGGGGCGGGAGGCGTGAAGGCGGGGGAGAAGGAGGAGGAAGGAAGAGGGGAGTCCGCGGGGGGAGGGGGGGCAGAGCGGGAAGGAGTGAAGGCGAGGGGAAAGGACTCCGCGGGGGAAGGGGAGGCGGAACGGGGAGGGGAAGACCTTCCTGGGGAGCAGGGTGGATTCAAAGATGCGCTCAGCGACTTGGCGGGGACTGGCGGAGAGGCGGCAGCGGGTGAAGAGGCGGAAGAGGTGTTCGAGGATGCGCTGACAGAAGAAGAGCTGCGCAAGGTGAGCGGAAGTGAGGTGGGGGGAAAGGGGAATGGAGGGGGGAGGGGGAAGGTGGAAGGGGGAAGGTGGAAGGGGGAAGGTGGAAGGGGTAGACCCTAAAGGTGAACCGTGAGAGGGCGGAAGAGGTGTTGGAAGATGCGCTTACAGAAGAGGAGCTGCGCAAGGTGAGCGAAGGGAGGGGTGGGGGAAGGGGAAATGGGGAGAGGGGACGTGGAAAAGGGAACCAGGAGAGGGCGGAAGAGGAGTTTGAAGATGCGCTTACAGAAGAGGGGCAGCGCAAGGTGAGCGGATAGCGGGGGGGAGAGCGGAAGGGAAAAAGGGGAAGGTTGAAGGGGTAAGGGGGAACGGGAACCTGGAGGGGGAGGAAGGGGGAAGGAGAAGCGGATCAGGGGGAATCGGGAAGAGGTGGAGAATTCCGCTCAGAATGCCGCTTCTCCTTCCCGCTTCTCCATGCCTCGAGTTCAGGTTGACTCGACAGAAGTTCCGCAAGGTTAGCGGAATGGAAAATTCTGATTTGAGGCAGTTGCGTCTTCATAAAACTCCGTAATTCTGCACTCACAACTTGTTGTTCCCCTCCTTTCCCCTCTGCCCCCCATCCCACCCCTCCTCTTTCCTCACGCCTCCCCTCTTCTCCCCCGCCCCGCCTTTCTCCTTGGGTGTATCTTTTTCCAAACGTTTTCATCGCGCATCCCGGCCGTTCAGAAAGCTCTGGCGGAAGCAGAGGTGATTAAAGCGAGGGGGAACGAGGAGTACAAGCGGGGTGACTATAACGCAGCCCTGGAGAGCTACAGCAACGCGCTGGCAGCGGCGCCTGGGGCGGAACATGCAGAGGCGAAGGAGTCACGAGCGATTTACCATGCCAACAGAGCCATGTGCCACCTGCAGCTGGTGAGTTTTTGGAATTTCCAGTTGGTGGGATCTCGGGCTGGTGGGGTGGGGGCTCCCGAGGAAAGCTGGCAGCAGCGCCTGGGGCGGAGCACGCAGAGGCGAAGGAGTCACGGGCGATTTACCATGCCAACAGAGCCGTGTGCCACCTGCAGCTGGTGAGCTTTCGAAGTTCCCCACTTGCAGGGTCTTGTCTTGCAATCTGGCAGCAGCGCCTGGAGCAGAGCTTGCAGAGGCGAAGGAGTCAGGGGCGATTTACGATGCCAACAGAGCCATGTGCCACCTGCAGCTGGTGAGAGAGCGAGAGAGCTGTTAGTTTGGCCACTTATAAGGCTTTGAGAAATTTCTATAAGTCACGTGCAGTTGGAGAGAGGAGTTGATTGGGGCTTGAAAAGTCACACCCATCACCAGAAGCTGGCCTTTTCCTCCTGCTCCTCACACTCCCTTTCGCCCTTGGTTTTTGCAGAAGGATTATGATGCGTGTGTTACAGAGAGCACAGCAGCCATTGATCTGAAGCCGGACTATGTGAAAGCGATCATGCGACGAGCACAGGCATGGGAGAAGCTGGACAAGCTTGAAGAGGCGCTGGGAGGTGAGTGGGACATCAATGTTTTGTGTTTCTGGAAGGAGAAAAGTGCATGTGTGGATGGAAGGGGTATGGAAGCTGGACTGTGTGAAGGCGATCATGTGGCGTGCACAGGCATGGGAGAAGCTGGACAAGCTTGAAGAGGCGCTGGGAGGTGAGTGGGGCTCTTACTGAAGCCTTTGAGTTTCTGCGAGGAAAGAAGCGCATGTGTGGATGGAGGGAGTGTGGATGCTGGGCTATGAGAAGGCAATCATGCGGCGTGCACAGGCGTGGGAGAAGCTCGAGAAGCCAGACGAGGCGCTGGGAGGTGAGTCGGGGGCTAGGAGCCAACCAACCAGGATCATGGATTCGTGAGTTTTACGTGAGTTTTACGGAAGGAGACAGATGCATGTGACTTCATGGGTTTTCTTGAAAATGCTCCAAGTACGCCTGTTTTATTTTGGAAGGGGACTGATGCATGTGTTTCCACATGCATGGGAGGGGAGGGAGTGAGCCAGTTAGGCTGTGTGAAGGTGATCATGCGGCGTGCACAGGCGTGGGAGAAACTGGACAAGCTTGAAGAGGCGCTGGGAGGTGAGTGAGTGCGGCTTGAAGCCAATCAACGAACCTTGAAACATATTGTGGAAGGAGAGGGATGCATGTGTGGAGAAAGGGAGTATGGCAGTTGGGTGTGTGTGGCGGCAGTTTTTCTGGGCTCTGGATTGCCGTGGTTCTGTAGCGGAGCTATGTGAAGTGAAAGCCATTATGCAACGGGTCCAGGTGTGGGAGAAGCTGGAGAAGCTGGAAGAGGCGCTGGGAGAGAGTGATGTGTGGTATGTGGAGCGTGGTAGCTGGGTTATGTGAAGTGAAGGCAATGATGCGCTTGTATGTCATGTTTGTCTTTCTCCTTTGCACTCTTTTACTACCTACCTCCACCACCCATCCTAGATTATAAGAGAGCGTTGGAAGTGGACAAAACCAACGCACTAGCGAGAACCACACATTCCTTTGCACCTTTTTACTGCCTACCTCCACCACACATCCCAGATTATAAGAAAGTGTTGGAGGTGGACAAAACCAACGCACAAGCCAGATCATCTGCCAGGCGATTGGAGCCCATTGTCGAAGAGAGGAGGGAAAAGCTTAAAGAGGAAATGTTGGGTAAGTGTTGTGGTTTTTCACTGGACCTTGTTTCCTCGCTACGGTACCTCTATGTCGAGTAAAATTTTTTTCCTCGCTACGGTACCTCTATGTCGAGTAAAATGCGTGATTCGGTTTTTTGTGGTTTCTGTCTTTCGTTTGTGTGCGATTCAGGCAAATTGAAGGACCTTGGGAACTCCGTTTTGGGCCACTTTGGAATGAGTGTTGACAACTTCAAGGCTGTGAAGGACCCTAAAACCGGCTCCTATTCCATTTCTTACCAAAGCTAAAATGTATTTCCTAGCTAAAGCTGCTAGCAAATTAACTCTTGTGAAGGGATATTGTGGAGTACAACTTGTGGAAAAGAGTACTCAACTATTAGAGCCCTGATAACACAAGCGTGATGTTAGATCTTGAAAACCAGTCCAATGCTCGTACCGCGTATACCTGATCACGAAATCCTTCTCCCCTGAACCACCTGGCTTTTAGGGTGAGCTTTGGCCATTGTCAAAATACCGCCCATCCAATCAAGGAGCTCTTCTAGCTCTATCTAGACTGATACAGCGGCTCGGCCAGCAGCATTAGGCTTCCGCGGTTCGGCCTGCAAGTCAGCCGTTCACTGGCGTCCGCGTTTTTTTCGCCAATCTGCCATTCGCTAGGGTTTCGCGAGCATCATGGTGTCCCTAGAAGCCGCTCACGCGAACCAGGACGCGCTCCTGAAACGATTCACTGTAAGCACTGCCGTCGGCATTATCAAGGTCTGCATGGTCAATATCGGAACGTCTCGCGCGAAACTGTGAGCTCTTTTTTCGGCAATATCAAGGTCATCATTGCCGTCAAGAGGATGATGTCGTAGGAATCGCTTATGCGACGCAAAACGCCTGTGAAAGCCTTTTTAGGGCAATGCCGATTCAAGTTTTAGTTCGTCGTCGCCAGGGTTTCGCGAGAGCGTCGTTGTGTCGTTAGAACCGGCTCACGCGAAGCAGGACGTTCTCCTAAAACGATCCAATGTGATTCCATGATTACCGATTTTTATGCGTTTGTTGCGGGATCCGGCATTATAGTCTGTCTGTCATTAGAGTTTGTTACAACTCTTCAGTTGGTCGCACCCAGTCCTCCTTTTCACGGGGATTTTCATTCATTCATGGGGGTTTGAGGTGACTTTTGAGTCGACTCAAAAGTCACCTCGGGATTTTCTTTCATTTATGGGGGTTTGTTGTCACATCCGACGGTCCTTGCAGTGAATTTGATTTAATTTGATTTGGTTTGATTTGGTTTGATTGGATTTGTTGCTTCCCGCGTGGCTGGCAGGAGCTGGGTATCACGTACCAACTCTACTCGCATCCACCGGTGCTTACAGTAGAGGAGCAGGCTGCACAGGTGACAGGAGCTACAGGGGAGACTCTTGAGTCGACTCAAAAGTCCTTTGCTTTGTTGCTTCCCTCGTGGCCTGCAGGAGCTGGGTATCACCTACCAACTCTATTCGCATCCACCGGTGCTTACAGTAGAGGAGCAGGCTGCACAGGTGACAGGAGCTACAGGGGAGACTCTTGAGTCGACTCAAAAGTCCTTTGATTTGTTGCTTCCCGCGTGGCTGACAGGAGCTGGGTTTCACCTACCAACTCTATTCGCATCCGCCGGTGCTTACAGTGGAGGAGCAGGCTGCACAGGTGACAGGAGCTACAGGGGAGACTCTTGAGTCGACTCAAAAGTCCTTTGCTTTGTTGCTTCCCTCGTGGCCTGCAGGAGCTGGGTATCACCTACCAACTCTATTCGCATCCACCGGTGCTTACAGTGGAGGAGCAGGCTGCACAAGTGACAGGAGCTACAGGGGAGTTTACCAAGAACCTTCTACTTAAGGTAAGATGTATTTCTCTTTCATCCCCCCTCTTGAGTGAATCATGGCTCTGCTTTCTCCCCTGGTCTATGTTCATTTTCTCAATCCTCGACCTTGCACCGGATTCGGCACCGTCACCTGAGTGCATTTCCTCAATCCGTTTGTGAATGCGTTGTGGCAGGACAAGAAGGGTCGGCTGATTCTCATCTCTGCACTCACCAAGACCAAGATTGATCTCAAGTGTAAGGATGCTTCGTCACTGCTCTATACCTGACCCATGCAAACTGTACACCCCACTTTTGTGTCGTCGAAAGTGTACACCTGACCACAGTGCTGCAGGGGCTTTCACAGAGGCTGGGACTGGCCTTCGATTCACGGACACCCCTGTTTTGAGTCGACTCAAAACAAGGCTGGGACTGGCCTTCGATTCACGGACACCCCTGTGCTGTTTCTGTCTGTTCGTCTTGTGCTTTCTCCCTTCCTCCATCCCAGTCCTGTCACAGATGCTGGGACTAGGCAAGGGCGGGGGGCCAGGCGAGAGCCTGACTCAAGAAGGACTGTGCTGCGCTGCGCATAGTCCTCTCATAGTCTCTCAAGAAGGGAAATGCTGCTTTGATTCAGTCAGGGGCACCCGTGTATTGTTTCTCTGTGTCCTCTGCCGATTCCTCAGTGCTGTCGCAGAGGCTGGGGCTGGGCAAGGGAGGATTGCGCATGGCACCAGACGAGAATTTGGCTGCGGTGCTGCAGGTGCCTGCTGGCTGCGTGACTCCTCTGGCGCTCTTCAACGATTCTGCCAAGTGAGCATTGGCTTTGTAGGTTGGTTGGACTTCACTTGTGGTGCGTGCAATGAGTGCACCGCATGAGAACCTCACCACTGTGCTGCAGGTGCCTGCTGGCTGCGTCACTCGTCTGGCGCTGTTCAACGACTCTGCCAAGTGAGCAATAGCTTGATAGGTTGGTGGGACTTAACTTGTGGTGCGTGCAATGAGTGCACCACATGAGAACCTCACCACTGTGCTGCAGGTGCCTGCTGGCTGCGTCACTCCTCTGGCGCTGTTCAACGATTCTTCCAAGTGAGCATTTGTAGGCTGGCTGGTCACCAATCCAGGCTGGACCCAACCAGACAGAACCAGAACTTCTGACGAGACGGGCAGGTGCCTGCTGGCTGCGTCACTCCTCTGGCTCTGTTCAACGATACCGCCAAGTAAGCAATGGCTTTGTAGGCTGGCTGGTCACCAAACCAGGCTGGACCCAAATAGACAGGACCAGAACTTTTGACGAGACAGGCAGGTGCCTGCTGGCTGCTGCTTCACTCCCCTGGCCCTTTTTAACAGCTCTGCCTGTGCTGATTAGTTGGTCACCAGACAGGGCGGAGTGGACCACACCCAGGCCTCTGTTCTCTACCCTTAACTCAACCTCCCTCCTTCCCACACTTCCCGCCGCCTCCCACACATTCCCCCGTGTTTTGTGATTCAGAGACGTGGTGCTGCTGCTGCTGGACCAAGGATTCGCAGGCGGTCTGTGCTTGTGCTTCTCCTCTCCCCAGAAGCCTCCCACGTTTCTCCTCCCGCCTCGTTCACCCATCCCGCCTGCCATGACCCCCTGTGTCATGTGATTCAGAGACGTGGTGCTGCTGCTGCTGGACCAAGGCTTCACCCTTCAAACAAATGTCACACCACATCCAGGCCTCTCCTCTCCCACCTCATTCTTCACACCTTCCCCATCCATCCCTCATGCCATGAAACCCCCCGTCATGGGATTCAGAGACGTGCTGCTGCTGCTGCTGCTGCTGCTGCTGGACTGGACCAAGGCTTCTCATGCAGTCAGTGCTTCCCCTTTCCTCCAGAACCCCCCGCGCCACGTTCCTCCTCCGCTTCATCCTCTTATCACTCCTGCCATGCACTACCTTCCCGTGTCATGTGATTCAGAGACGTGGTGCTGCTGCTGGATCAAGGGTTCGCCTCCCAGCAGCACCTGCTCTTCCACCCTCTCTCCAACGACGCCACTGTTGGTAAGGCGCCACTATCAGTCAGTATACGGCAATTTTCTTCCCACATAGAAAAATAAGGAGCTGAATTGATACCGCAAGTAGAACGCCCTTAGTTCTTCTTGCATGTTTTGGTCGATTTGCAATTAATTGTCCCCGTTTTTGTACACCTTACTGCCGCTTCTAGCCCTCAAGTCCGTCCCCCTCTCCCCCTTCCTCCTCTCTTGCCCTCCTATTCACAGCGTTGACCCGAGAGACATTTGAGTCTTTCCTTGGCAATGCTGGCCGCTCTGAGCCGGCTTATGTGGTTCAACAGCCCTCTCAAGTCCATCCCTTTCCCCCCTTTTTCCCTTCCATCCCCGTGCCCTGCGATGCACAGCGTTGACTCGAGAGACGTTTGAGTCTTTCCTTGGCACGGTTGGCCGCTCTGAGCCAGCTTATGTGGACCTTGAGGTATGCCCGTGTGCATTGATAATAAGGTGATGTGAGGTGGGAGATGCCCTCCTATGCACAGCAGCACAGGTTGACTCGAGAGGCGTTTGAGTCTTTCCTTGGCACTGTTGGCCACTCTGAGCCCGCTTATGTGGACCTTGAGGTATGCTTTTGTCTGAGGGTCACGAAGTTATTTGATGTGCCAAAACAACGTGTCTATGTTTACAGGCGCCTTAAACCTCTGGACGGCTTATGTGGACGCATTGAGGTATGCTTATGTGAATGGATGCTGATTTGATACGCCTCAGAAAACCTCTAAATGATTTCAGGCGCCTCAAACCTCTGGTGGCTGGCCTGGGCCGGCTCATGTGGACCTAGACGCATGCTTGTGTGCGTGGGTGGGTGTTCATACGTTGAGGCATTTTTTTTAGCGCCTCAAGCTTAGGCGTCTCAAGGCTCTGATGGCTTCTCTTAACCTGCTTTCGTGGATGAGGTACGCTTGTGTGCAAGGATCAACCGCCCGACCTACCTTACTGCCCTTCTCCCTGCCGCTACCACTGCTGCCGCAGCAGAATTTTTAAAACCTGTGCCTGAGACGTCTCAAAACGCTGGAAGATAAGCAGGTACAGGTTTTGAGAAACCTGTGCCTGTGACGTCTCAAAACGCATGCTTATCTTCCATTGTCAATGTAATGGTAATCCCAATGCCTTGCTTTGCAGGCCAACGTGGTGGTGGGCAAGGATCAATCACCCAACCTCGTTGCCCTTCTCTCTTCCCCCGCCACTGCTGCCACAGCAGACTTTGAAAAATATAAACTTGTGTTCTTCTTACTTTGTTATTGCATGGAATTCCTCCTTCTCTCGCAGGCCAACGTGGTGGTGGGCAAGGATCAACCGCCCGACCTCGCTTCTCTTCTCCCCGCCGCTTCCACCGCTGCCGCAGCAGGAGATGCCGCCTCTGCACCTACAAGTGCCGCCACCAGCACTACCAGCGGTGCCAGTGCCAGTTCTAATACTGGTGGCAATGGCAACGCCCCCAAGGCCGGTGCTGCTGCAGCTGGGAAGGGGAAGTCAGGTGGGTGGGTTGGTATGCAGGAGAATAAAAAATGTGTGTGGAATGCGCCAATAGTTTGTTCTGTGCTCCGTATAACCCTGGATGTGTGAAGTGGTGGTTCGACTAGGGATTACTGACTAGGGCCATGACTTTCTGTACTCTTATTCTCTGATTTCTACTTGCATGGGTGGGGTGTGGCTTTCCCCTCGCCGCTGCAGCTTCTCAGAAGAAGACAGCGGCTGCCGTACCAAAGGGGCCACCGGGCGATGACGTGGCAACTTGCATGACACGGATATTGGACATGCTGACAGAGCACATGAAGGTGGGGTAACTCACTTTCAACCGTCCATTTCTCTTCTCTCTTCTTTCTCACCATCCATTTCTCCATCACCATCATGCGGATTCTGGGCATGCTGACAGAGCACATGAAGGCGGCTGAATTGCTGTCTGTACTCTCCGTTCAGTTTCTCATCAACGTCTTCCCCCACTGGCCTACCCCGTCAGCTCCATGCGCATGCCCCCCTTGTCCCTTCGTGCCTCATGGTTGCTTCAATCATCCGCATTCTTCTGGCATTTGCGTTCCCCATCACCAACTACAGAAATGTAGTGGTGACTCTGCGACTGCGGATCAATCTTCTAGTGCCAGCAAAGCCAATGAGGAGCTTGCATTGAATCTTCAGCACACCCTGGTACGGATTATATTCGACGACACTTTCCATTTCATGCCTTTATGCTAGCATTGGCCAGGCGGGTATGGGTTGCATTTGTACTGCATCCCGTTTACCCTTTACGGTTGTTTTCATGTTGAATACGTGCGTATTATTGACCTTCCAGGTTATGTTCAAGAATGCTGCCTATACAAATGGTTTCTTTGCTGGCCGGGCAGCGGTCCTGGATAGGGTTCAAGGTTCGTGACAGTTGGCATGCGACCATGCCTGTTAAAAAGGGATGTTATAATGCCACTCGTCTCTCCCAACCGAAATTTTACGATGTTGGACCATGTCCATCATTGACAACCGTATCTGAAACCAACTTGTCCTCAAAAGTTGTACGACAGCACTTCTTCTTGTTGGGCTGAGTGCCCCTTAGGATCTTTGGTAGGGTTAATCTCTGGGTAGAATGATGTAGTAGCGGAAGCGTTAACAAAGAGATTCTGAACCTTGCCTTCTCGATCTCGTCCTTCACGAAGAAGTATCGCAGGGCGATGTGTTTCCTCCTGTTCGCAAAACCGTTCTTGTTGGCGATGCGAATTGCCGACTGGTTGTCGCAGAACAGGGTAAAGTTGGGTAACTCGGCTAACTTCGCTTCTTCCAGCAGCTCGCGAAGATAGAGTCCTTCTTTGGTGGCTGAGCAGAGTGCAATATATTCTGCTTCAGCTGACGAGAGAGCAATTAGTTCCTGCTTGCTCGATTGCCAGGAGATAGGCCCGATAGGCTCGAAGCGATAGATGTAGCCGGTGCGTGATTGTCTGTTGTCGGAGTCCCCCGCGTGATCTGCCTCGACGTAACCGATTAGCTTAGGTGGCGTGGTCGCGTTCTTGTGATATGTTAGGCCGATCGTTGGCGTACTGACCAGATAGAGTAGAGCGTGGTCGAGTTCGGCCATGTATTTTGCTTCAGGCCTTTTGAGATGAGTGGCGAGCTGGCTTGCGGAGTATGAGAGGTCGGGGCGGCAGGTAACGGCTGCGAAGAGAAGGCATCCTAGCTTTCTCTGGTAGTCGCGTATCCCGGCAGATTTGAGTAGAGTGGATCCTTCCTCGTGGTTTCCTGTCGCGTAGCGGTAGGGCGTAGAGATGGTGGTAGGCGTGAGCGTGAAGCGTTTGGCGATGGTGTCGGCGTACTTAGTGGCGTTGAGGTAGATCGCATCTTCTTCCTCTCGAATGTTCAAGCCGAGGTACTGTGTGACGGTAGAGGAGACCGTGAGTGTGAGGTCCCTCTGTAACTCCCCTTCGAACCAGGTGGTGATGTCGTCAGTGGAGGCGATGTAGAGTAGGTCGTCTACGTAGACGATCAGCAGGATGTAGTTGGTACCCTTCGTGAGTCGGTACATTCCTTGGTCGTGAGGTAGTTGGCGGAATCCAATGCGAATGAGGCGAGCGTGTAGGTACTGTTGCCACAGCCGCGGGGCTTGTTTGATTACGTAGAGCGATTTCAGCAGCTGGCAAACCTGGTTGGGCTCTCTGTTAGTACCGTGCGGTAGTTCCACGAAGATCTCTACGTCGACAGGTGCGTAGAGGAACGCGTTGGCGACATCGATTTGCCGTAGCTTCCTTTTCTTTATGGCGGCGATCGCGAGGAGGATTCGAAGTGAGGTATGTCGGCTAACCGGGGCGAATGTCTCAGTGAAGTCCCGTCCGTGCTCCTGATCGAATCCACGCACAACCCAGCGTGCTTTGAACTTCTCAATTGTGCCGTCTGCTTTTGTTTTAACGCGGAAGTCCCATTTCCCGGTGAGAATGGTCTTGTTCCTTGCCACGTTGATGGGGACAACTTTCCAGGTGTTCCGTTCCTCCAGCGCTTTTAACTCTCTGTCCATGGCTTCACGCCATTTTTCCCTGTGTTCCCCCCCCAGAGCCTGCTGAACCGTCGCAGGCTCCTTAGGAAGGGTGTTACCGTGGACTGCGGTGATGAGGCCGAGTATCTGCAGTCCAGTCTGTGAGTAGCGAGGAAGAGTTGCATCCTCGAGATAAGCTGCTTCATCTCCCGCTTCTGAATCAGGTATGAAATTCGGTCCTGACCGATCAGTTCTGCTTCGTTGGTGTTGACTGTCGCAAATGTTACGTAACCGTTGTCGGCGAAGTAGTAGAAGGTTTCGGCGTTGACGCTTTCGCGAGGGTTGTCTTCGTCCATGGGAACGTCGACGGAGCAGAACGGGAGAGGTCCGGCTTCATCTGACGCGTTGTCCACATTCTGCTCGTCCCAGTCAGCTTCGTCTTCTGCGGAGGCAAAGGCTCGGTCGCCACGAAAACCACCTGTGGGATCTTGGTCCTCTTGCAGGTTGGCAAGGTACGTCTTGAGCGTGTGTCGTTCGTAGAAAATGACGTCACGTGCTGCTACTGTTTCCTTGGAGTGGACGTCGAAGATTTTCCACGCGTTGTAATTCTTTTCGATGCCGAGGTGTAGTCCCCACTGTGCGCGCTGTGAAAATCGGCCCGCTCGTGCTGCTGGGGGTCGATACTGTACCATGCATCCGAACACTCGTAACATTTTTGTGCTGCCCTGTTTCCCTGTCCACAGCAGATGCGGTGATGCGTTGTTCGGAAGCGACGATGACGACAGCAAGTTGTGCAGCATGACAGCGTGGTCCATTGCTGCAGGCCACTGGTGGTTGGGTAGCCGCATGCCACGTAACAGTTTGCGCATGCTGTTCTGCAGAGTCCTGTTCATTCTTTCTGCTACACCTTGCTGCTGATGGGCGTAGGGAAGAGAGAGGAGCTGCTTGATCCCCCTTTCCGCCAGGTACTGCTTGAATCGCTGAGAGGTGTATTCTCCTCCTCCAACTGAGTGGAAGCTTTTCAGCTTTACGCCCGACTCTCTCTCTGCTACTGGTAGCCAAGCAGCGAATGCTTCGAGGACCATGTCGCGGCTGGGTAGGTTTAGGTGCCAGACGTAACAGGTGGCGGCGTCGATGAAGGTGATTGTGTAGTTGTAGATTACTTGTCCTGGTTCCCGATTGTACAGGATGTCGCTATACACCTTTTCGAGTGGTGCGTACGCGGGTGCGCTCGGGTTGTGACGAGGAGCGAATGGCCGATGTGGTAAGTCGACTTTGGGGCAGGTAAGGCATGTTCCTCGTGCCCGTTGGAGTTCTCTGCCGTCGAGTAGTAGTAACGAGTCCTTGTCAAGGACTCCTGCTCTTATTGTGTTGTTTAACACAGTGTTGCTTGGGTGTCCCATCCTTGCGTGCCAGGTGCTTTCGTCGGCGCGATGTCCGGGTGATCGTCGGTACATATCGGAGTTGGAATAGAAGCTGGTGGTGAAGTTTGCGCTACGATGAACTTCTCGTGGTGCTGGGTGGAGCTGTTGTGCTGGTGTTGGTGGTGTTTCGTCAACGAGGACTGGTGTCGTTGTTGCTGCTACTGTTGTTGTTCCTGCTACTGTCGATGATGTCTCTGCTCCTGCCGATGATGTCTTTGCTGCTGCCGATGTTGTCTCTGCTGCTGCCAATGATGTCTCTGCTGCTGCCGATGTTGTCTCTGCTGCTGCCGAATGTTTTATTGTTACTAACGCGCGTGTTCGTTCTGCTTCAAGAATGGTATGTGAATACCAAAAGCCTTACGGACTGAAGTCTGGATCAAGGTCTGGAGGATGTGTCCAGTCGGTGAAGTTAACGATGGCGTCGCTGTCGGCGGTGCCAAGGTCAGGGACAAAATCGAGGACGAAGACGTTGTTCTTGAGGACCGCCTTGCCGATGTAGAGACCTCCTCTCCCGTGATACAACTTGAATTCTTGGGTGGTGCTGTCTGCTTCGAGATGTATGCCTTTCGCCATCAGCTGACTGACGCTCAGTAAGTTGTAGCCGAGTCCCTCCGCGATTAGTACTTTTGACATCTGTAGTATAACATTTGTTTCTCGTGACTGAAGTTGCACAATCCCTTGTCGTCGTATGCGCAGGTTCTGGTTATTGGCGACTCTGATGACGACCTCTCGTTGAAGTCGGTGCTCGCGTTGAACGAAGCGTCCCGAGAAGCACATGTGCTGTCCGCAGCATCTATCCAAGAACCATGTGTCTTTCCCGGACGGTTCGCTTTGAGCGATGGCGGCGTACGTCGGGTTCAGTTGAAGTGACTCGCGGCGAGGCGTGCTGTTGTCGAGTTGTTCTTTTGGTGAGTAATATGGTGGTGACTCAGTTATGCAGGAGTCGCTCAGCCTTGCCATGCAGCTGATGATGTTTCTTGTTTCTTTCGCAGGTTGTTGTGGAAAATAGAACGAGAATGAATGAACTATGAGTGAAGTGAGTACAAATAGCAAAACCCTAATTGGGTTGTACCCCCTATGGTATACCCCACTGTAGCCTACACAACAGCATAAGCTACATATATGTTCTGACACACCCCCATAGGCAAAGTGGGGAAGAACAAGGGGTCACAAGACCAGTCAAGCAAAGCAAAGCAAAGCTCAGGGTGGATCACAAAGTCACCACACAGTCTGAGCACAAGAGCAAGGCCACAAGGCCAGTTCACATGCAGGAGTACACACATATATATATAAAGCTAGACAAGCAAGAGCAGGTATATATATGTGACAGTACAAGTAAAGTCAAGAGGAGAGCAAGTGAGGCAAGACAGGCACAAGACCCAGCTGGGTGCAGAAGCGCTGATGGTCACAAGGCGTGAGTGCCTTGGTGAACACAACAGCAGTATTGGCCTCAGAGGCCACGTACGCAAGCCGCAACTGTCCACGCTGCTGTAGCTCACGCGCAAGGAAGTAGCGAAGAGCAATGTGCTTCTATCTGTGCTGCAGACGCTGCTCTCGACACAAGGCCAGCATGGCCTTGTTGTCTACGTACAGCACTGGAGGAGAACGAGGCGGCTCTCCAAGGTCAGTCAGCAGGTAGGTGAGCCAGCGGAGCTCCTGTGCAGCCATGGCCCCTGCGTAGATCTCAGCCTCACAACTCGAGCTGAGAACCGAAGACGAGCGAGTAGCCCGCCACGAGACTGAGCCGGAGCCAAGGCTGAAGGTGTAACCCT